TCTTGTTGAATTTCAATGGTGGCGGAATCTGGAGTGATTTATAGTGCAGATTCAACGTCGCGTTGTTATCGGATGGGGTCCAAGGWATAAATCTGACCTTCCTACGACGAAAGATTGGAARGTTGACGGTCAGAACTGATGGACAAGTACCAAATCCAGTTGGTAGATACTCTGAAGTSGAGTTACAAGGAATGTGATAGATAGTCAATKGTGACATTKTRAGTGGACCTGTAGAGAATGTTATTGTTTGTGCTCTTGTAGATAGAAARTGGCGTCCTCCCAAGTGATGAATGTTCTCTTGATAGGTACAAGTATCAATAGTGTGAGTGCGCGGGAATGTCATTGTTGATCCAGGAAGCCATGGTAGTCCCAACCAGGAACCATCTTTRGAYCGTCTGGTAACAGTCTCAGGACAGACCAATGTGCCGTACTGATTAAAACACTTATTAAGCATATCAGCAGTTACTACTATCTTAGAATTCAAACACGWAACKARAACWARATCATGACGAGTCACTGGACCCGYAAAACATTTCTTTTTGATRCGRTAYGTAACTGGTGTRAGATATTCCACAGTGCAAAAGGCATTKCGGTCCGCKATACGAGGTARATTAAAYGTTGTATCWATRGACATATAYCKATCCYTATGACGAAACTGAGTCACAGGGCGTARTAAAAGAGGAAAACCGTCCGATAGAGCTTTKGMTGTMGCYCTRAATTCTCKTTGAKTTKCTAARCGAGAAGAAATTTCWKTKGCYAGBGGAACGGGTAAGTCGTTATAACCGACCAGTTCCCTGCCTTGAATTASAGAAATTTGATGAAACATGTCATGAAGCTCAAGCAAACGAAGTAAMGAATTRAACATATTAGTAGTCTCRAATGAGAAACGTCCGGTAAATTCYAAAASAGCGTCATAATGACATGATTCKGTTTTACCAAATTTGTTAAGYTGATCCTTCCAATTGGTAAAAAGTGAATCAATGTAAGTAAGCCTGTCCGAAAATGTGTTAACTCGATTTGTGAGACTGTCAGTGATTTTGTATAGTTGKACCGTTTTACCGTTTACTGTGGTGACAAGTCCGTGCTCAGTTTGTAAGGCGTCAGTCAAGTCGTTYAAAGTCTTTCTTARTCCTACAAGTTTGTCAGAGGTACAAGAACCACCAAAAGAGGTGTATATCTTGCGCAAAATTCCCAGGATTCCACTGTGACAAAGAAAATTACTTCGCCGATGTCTAGAATGACTGTTTAACCAAAGTTTTTCKTCCGGGGAAATRAGTGTACAATGTCGGARAGCCCAAAGTTTGCATAATCTGAGWGTCGGTTTATAAACKCGTGGACACACCATTTTCGAGTGTAATTTTGTTTCAGYGTAAAAAGAGCGAGCCARAAAGGTATCACATTCAAGTAATTTCGTATAGCCGGGAAAAGAAAGAATACGACGCATGTTATAGTGWGCTTCTCKAGCTGATTTAAGAATTGAATTCATAAAATCTTTCTGATGYTTAGTGCATTGAACCTTAACGRAAGGTTTCYTRCCTAACGGTGTAGTTTTAAGGTCTAAATGAACTTTCAGAATATGAGTGTCACGAAAGAAAATGACTGGTCGGGCATTATGAGCTATCATTAAAGATGACGGATAAAAAGTAACAATTTTACCAGTATTATCGAGATCAGCGAGAACTCGTGGCAAAAGAAATAATAATATAAGCAAGATAATAGGACGGCACATTGTCAAAGATCTAAAACAAAAGAAAAACAAAAGCAGAGATTAACAAAAAGGTCGATGTATATGATTACTGTTGTGAAAARCTAATATACAGTGGACAGAGGAAAACAAGAACCTATAATTCTAATAAAATGTCCTCATCACTGTCGGAAAAATCCCAAATATTATAAGCAGTGTAGGTGTCMATCTGTTGTTGTAGCTGTAGTGTTGTGCAGGATACGTGGAGATTGATGCGTTCGAGAATATGTGAAATGAATGAGGATGTGTTTGTGAGAGGGTTAGGTAAGTCCCGTGGATGTGGCGGTTGGTTGTCAACGTAGTGTGATGTGATAGGAGAATCGAGATCGTATAGGATGCTCGAGCCGTGAGATTCCATAATATGATCGAGAAGTGAACACGCTTTGAGAAAAACGTCCATATCAGGATACGCCTGTAAAAATTCATATTGTTTGGGAAATGCATGGTTTAAAGCCATGGATTGATAAGCATTATGGTAAAAAAGATAGAGAGTCTTGTGAAAAAGAAATCCCGAGGCGGGCAAAAGAGGCATATGAGTTTGCAGCCAGTGTGGCTTGACACATAAGAAACCGCATAAAGCAATAAGTGTATAAGACTCTTCTTCAAAAACGAATGAAGGCTCAGCTTTTTGTCCGGAAGACACTGCAGAAGTTACGGCAACTAAGTCAGTGTGAGTTTGTTCGCGTTGTGAGGTTAAATCCTGGTGTAATTGGCTAAACTGTGTAATGAGAGAGTCAATTAACTTAGCGTTTAACGCTTCCAAGTCGTCCTTTGTCGCTGACATAGTCGTTTGTGATTGTGAACGTTTAGATGTCTTTGTGAGTGGTGTATTGAGTGGAGTTTGTGTGTGGATTGGATGTGGACACTTAGACTGTGTGGCAAGGAGTTTCGTACCACTGCGAAGCTTCACGATGAAAATTTACAAATTGGAAAGCGCAATACAACAAATAAGGTGAAATTTAAAATTGCAAAGAAAGAAAATAGATAACTGTGACTCAATAACTCATAAGAACAGGTAAAACATGATACACATTTAACGATTTAACCATATACTAAAAGGTAAACGAGGGGCTGATATACTTAACAAGGCTCAATAAAAGCACGATACCGGCCTACCTGGAAATGGTCGTCGGGTTTAGTTCTCCACCACTGTGAAATGGTTTTATCCCACTGTAAGTTGGGTCTTGGGTTACGTTGAGGCACTCGCTTTTAGCACTACGGGAGGTACTCCAAGTGACGACTCAAGTAGGCACACAACAGGTTTATTGTACTCAAAAGGTCCTTACAAAAAAACTCTAGAGCTAGGTAAACTAACCCTTTTTATACTAATGTTACGTCACTCTATGTAAGATTATATTTACATAACTGGGCGTATTTCCCACAAGTTATAATATCAAGGATATATAACCTTAAATCGACGACTGACCTTAATAAAGGTACAATATAGAAAATATAAGAAAAGCTAAACATTATGGAAAAATTGGAAATTGAAATAAGAAAGTTATTTGAAAATATGAAACTATCAAAGTTGATGTCATCCGCACTTAATTATCGATTTCGAAATTCCCTTAAGTAAGCAGAATTCAAGTGCGCATGACATCGGAAAATGTACGATAAACAAATATTAAAGGGATTAGTCCAGATCTATAGCGCACGTACGAGGCATTGTTTGAAAGTAATTAAAGGTGATCAAAAGTTCCGAAACAGCAAAAGTGTTAAACAAATATTTGTAAAATGTACAGATTCAACGATCTGTAAAGGCCAAATTTAAAGAGATTTACAAAAACAATAAGTGCTTCATGAAAAGTGTTAGAAAGAATTTTAAATGAAAATTTAAGTAATATTTACCAATATTACAGTGCTCAATAGCCCCCACTAAATTCTAAAAGTCCATCCCTAACTGGCGCTCAATGCGTTCGTGGTTTATAAATCTTACAGTGCGAATCGAAAAGCCGTGGCCGCTTAGAAATATTTCGGGAATGTTTATTGTGAATTGACCAATCAAAAGCGAGATTAACCGTCATCAAGTGCATTTTCACGTGTAAAGTTAATTAAAACTTCAACGTTTACAAATAAATAAAACTAGTTCATCACCAAAAATGGCCTGTAAAAGCTCACAAATAGTATAATTTCGTTGTTTAGAATAAACACAAAGTTTGCCCATTTATCTTTTTCATCATGTTTGTCAGCTAAAGTCGCTTTTCAAGTACACATTCCCGATATATTTGTTAGGCGCCCATGGTTCGATAATTCGCACTGTAAAGTTCACATCTTTTTGATGTGTTCCATTGCACTCAAAAAGTATAAATTGATTATCGGTATTTGTGTATGGGTGTCTTTTTAGAATTTGTATGCAAATCAATTTAAAAGCAAAAAAGTGCTTATCTAACTAATATTTATAGATGAAAATAGTTATAACGTACTGAATGATTTCATTTCAATCACTAGTCCAAAACATCAAATGTCTCTTATATAAGCAATGTCACCAAGTTAGCTTTACTTACATACAAGGAAGTAAACTTTCGACCAAAGAAAGGAAAAGCTGTAGTAATATTGATTTTGCCTGAAACTGCATCAAGCTCACGGTGCATCAAAACATCACCATTGTCTTCACCAAATGGAGTGAAATCATCCAAGGCAACAGACGCAGATTTGCTTAAGAGGATACTAATTTGTATGATCATGACAAGAAATGACAACGACGCTGCCATGTTTCTCATCGCTTTTGACAGTTCAACTGATTGATTCGATGTTGTATTCAGAGATATATGTTGGAAGGATAGATCCCAGTCTATTCTGAGCTGTTTGGAATTGAACTTTGATTTACTACCTTATTTGGTCAATGCCAATACAGAATTCAGAATCGCTCTGCTATATGTAATTAACTCAGCTTCTAGAAAAAAATAGAAATAAAAATACAATACAATCGTTAAATATTTATAAAAAAAATGTATTTTAATGCTATTTTCAAAATTTAAACTTCCCTTTTATTTTGCTGAAGCAATTAAAGGTATTTAATGCAAGACAATAATGAAAGATCAATATTAATATTCCATTCAAAATATAATTCAAAGCTTCTATTTTGATCTTTCATTTTGATAGTGTGATCTTTGACCGTGATCTTTCATTATTGTCTTGCATTAAATGCCTTTAATTGCTTCAGCAAAATAAAAGGGAAGTTTAGATTTTGAAATTAGCATTAAGTAATTAAAACATTTTTTTCCAAGCGCATGTGAATACAAACTAAAAGCATGAAATATATTGCAAAAAGAATTTTGTAATGCTTTATAGACGGAAATACTTGGAAATGTATACCTTACCTCCGAAATCGCAGTCATCACATTGATACTGATTCGTCTGTCTTGATGAGCTTTAGAAACTCAAGTTGTAGTTAAGCAACTTCAGAGTTATGTCATGAAAATAATTCAGAAGACTTACCTCTTCAATTCAATGTGTGGTAGCGTCACTTGAGATGTATCCTTTTGCATCAACAACAACAATAGCAAGCATATTGAGAGACTGAACAAACAAGCATTATTCTAAATAGGAAATGCCCATAGCAAATTAAACGCGCAAATATATGATTATCTGATCCACAAAATTGTACCTACAATCCCACAGGAATGATGGCGATATCACACTTTACTTTTTGTTCTGTGGAATATGAGTTTCTTAATCGCTCATGGAAAAATCACTGCACTAGTCTGCCCTTCTCTATCTTTCCTGTAACTAGCTATCTCTGTATCTATCACTCTAATTGTATCAAATTAAAGCACAAACTTGAATTGAAAAAGCGCGTGCGCTGCTCTTTGACAATTTATTGTAACTTATTGGATATTTCATCTCAAAAATTTCACCTTTCGGTTTTTCTTCATTCTCTTCGTCTTTTGCAATACCATCGTTTAATTGTCCTTCTTGTATAGTGATGCCGTCTGTCCTGAACATCCACACTCCTGGTTTTTTGACATTTGAATCGACTGTGAGATCCAGTACACTAATGTTTCTATAAGCATTAACAGTTAAGCTGTAGGAATAGTTACCAAATCCTGCGTTGAACCCACACTGTTGGACAATGTTTAAAAAAAGACATCATTTGAAAGTCACTAATTGTAAAACCTTTTTATTCCGGTCACTAAAGGGATATTTAACAGTTGCCGTATTAGCTGGGAAGAAAAGTATGAAAGAGTTGCTTCACAGGAATCTAACATTCTAACCATTATAAAGAGGGTGGTCGTAAGGAAAAAGTACATATTCAGCTATAATAAGTGATTTTTCAAAGTACAAAAAATTCCATAACATGATAATAATTACGTGGGCTTCCTGTGGAAGCTCACGTCTAAAAATGCAAGTGAATTTTCGTGTTCGTCATCGTCGTCGTGAATATTACACTTCAAATTGGTAGCGCCTGCGTTGCAGATGGTCTGCAGTCTAATAATGAAAACAAAATGGCGGATGGACAGACGGCGGCAAAAGTTGTCTCATTTTAAATGGTTCTAAAATGTAGCTAAAATGCTTTAAAGAGCTGAAAATCTTACAAAACCAACTGATTACCATCCAAACGGCATGGAATGAGGTATATAATTCAAGATTATTGGATGATTCGTGCAGAACTGGACTGGGTATTTTCTACCGCCGACTCGAAGAGCACTACTTCGCCACAATAAGTGTTCGATGTGAATCACAAAATCTTCAAAAAAAAAAACCCGAAGAAATCACATGGATATTTAAGGTTCATACTTTGCCGGAGAGAAGAATAATCATTCGATGGACTAAAACATATCAAACCTCATCTGAAAAATATTGATGCCATTTTCTAAACGATGTGTTTGAAGTTTAAAACTCACGCACATGTGAATTACTGAACTCTGTATACAAAATCTATATTGTGTATGAAGAATTGGTTTTGATGATTGTTTAACTTGAAAAACATAGACAAATCGATCCAAAAATATGAACTTCATTAGAAGGTACACCTGTTTGATGATGGTACAGAGCACCAGATGTAAAATTATTAATTACTAATTAAAGAAAAACACCAAAACAAATATTTTCCCGCAATTGTTTTTAATAGATATATGTGAGTCATATATTTGTATTGCTTGAAGTTTTGGAATAAGGCCATCTTCATGCAAGTAGCAATTAAAAAATCGCTGAATGTTGAAATATCTCCGTATAATTTTTTATCTTTTTCTGCCCTCACCCCGCCCCCCTTCGCTCAAAGTTGTACTTTAAAGAGCACACATACCTGCTGGATTCTGTTTGAGGGCTAACAACACTGTTTTGGGGTAGGGGAGGGGATAGAGAGGATGTTTCGTTGAACTGGCCTGAAGACTCGCAGTTATTCTTAACATTTTTGTCCAGGATTGTAGTTATTGTGGAAAACTGAGAAAGACATGATACATAAAGAAGTTACTTGAGTTCAGTTCGGTAAAAAATTATGATGTAACAAATAAGTTATATTAACTTAATTCTGTCTTGACTTATTACAAACAAAGACTGTATTGTGAAAATGAAATACCATTGTCGCAACTACAGGAAGCCCACGTAAGCGATTCATGATCGTCTAGTGTTTAATATGTTCATGAAGCATTAAATTTAAACTACTATTAAATGAGGGTTATTATGGGCCTTTTACCCCTGCTTCAGTTCCTCCAAGGCCATTACTAGCGTTGCCTCCACTTTCTGTCCCTGAAGTCCATGCGATGTTTTGGTAATTAAAACGAACAAACGAGTAGCGGCCATCGGTTAGCAATACTGACTGGAATGTGTTGGTGATATTCTAAGGTCATAACACTTCATTTATAAGCAACTTAGAAATATAATAATGTTAAAATCAACGCACCAAACACTACCTTATTTTTACTTCCATAAAAGTTTACTTGCTCCCAAGTGGCAACAAACATCCATATTGCCGAGAAGTATTGGAATTCTGGGAAAGCCTTTCTTATGTCGAGTGATGCCACTTTCAAGACATCTTTGCAAGTGGTTTGTCTGTACCATATAGCACCTCCCTTGTTTGTACTAACGTCAGCCCAGAATGGAGCAATTATAGTACTGCCAGCAAGTGGAAACGTTTTTGGCTTATACTTTTGGAATGTCTTTTGGAATGATATTACCCCATTGATGTTTACCCTATTAGAATCAATCAGGGGGGAAGGGGGGGCGTTAAATTCAGTTTTATAAAAATCACTTCCTTCCCCTAATAATTCTGTGGATTCCCACCGCCATGGAATGATGCTAATTTGAGTAATTATCAATATACCTCTGACAGGAACATAAGGTACAAAACTACTGACGTGATGCTTCACTTTCAATTCCGTGTGGTTGCGCTCAAACATGGACGGCTTACTTATAGGTTGTGTCATAATAGATAACGTTTCAGTGAAAATCTACGAGTTTTTTTGCTAACAGAAATATTTAAGATATTTATTAAGGAACTTTGGTGAAAAAACACTCTATTAAATCTAGTCAGTTATTTCAGTTCCATTTATATTGTTTAGCTAAAGCGGAACCAGATGCCATGTATATGTAATTATCTTTTATGGATCACATAAAATGAAATCTTTCAAAGCTGAGACTGTTCCGATATTTTCGTTTAGAAAAATTGTATCTGCCAGGAGAAAGGGGATTGGTGATTGACGAACATGTTCTTGTTCATGTTCTTTTTTGAAATATCTATATACAAAGCAAGGTATCAGTGAGAAAATGCACAAAAAAATGAATAGCTGTTTCTTGATAAATTCTATCCGTTCTATATCTTTAATTTTCAATTCTGTATTTAAATCTGGTAAGTCAAACGTGCGATACTTGTAGAATTGATGCTGTAATTCACACAAATTATACATAATTCGTTTTTACTTACATACAATGAAGTAAAATTCCGACTAAAGAAAGGAAAAGCTGTTGAAATCATGATTCTTTCTGAGCTGCCATCATCTCCTCGACGCAAGAAAATATCTTCCAAGGCGATAAACGCAGATGAACGGGGAATGATTTGTATAAGTACGAAAAGAAAGAGCATGGTTGCCATTGCCATATTATCAAATGTCTGCGCATAGTTGAAACTTCTTGCTTCGAAAGACTAGAGCCTAGTCTCCTCTTAACCGTTGTCATATCAATCTCGTACCCAAACCCTTTTTCATCTTCCAACCGAAATTCAGAGGCTCTGGGACACCAGCAATTTCAAGCCACATGATTGGCTAATTCAAATAACAAACGGACAAGCTTGTAATCGCGATCCAAAATTCAAATGTTTATAATTTAATATATTGGTACGTTATTTCGTACATCTTCCTGCCTATTCTGTCCTCTTACACGAGGTAAAATAAAAACCTGTGCCATCATAATATTCTTTGCGACATCGAAAAATGACTTGAATCAAGTTAAAAATAGGTGTAAAGTAAATGATATTTCTCGCTAAAGCACCGATCAGTTTTTTAAGCAAGATCAAATAATTCTCTATGATTTTATAAAAACAGATGTTGACAAAAAAAGGATATTTGTAGTAGAAAAAAAGTCAAAATATTTTTCCAGTGTTAACGGATATTTTAGCTGGAAACCTGGCTTGTTTATAATCCTGTCTTTACCAGCGATTACCCGAAAAAAAAACATTCTTAGAGTCTGGAGAGAGAGCTTAGAACATAAATCGGAAGCAAGATTTCCTGCTTCTGGTTTATAGGGTGTCCCAGAGCCTACGATAGGTCGCTAGAGGCCGCGAGAGTAGGGTCTGGGTACGAGATTGTTGTCATATATAATAAATCATTTCTTTTATGAAATATCAAGTGTCAAGTTGAATCACGTGAACGAGACGAAATTAGAGTCTTGGCCTACAACAAATATCAGAAAAAGCGAAAATCACGTGACTGAAAAATATGGAAAGCAAAATTAATCGCAATAGCTCGCACTCTTTCAAATTTAATTCCTATCCCTTAATAGCTTCTCTGTTTTGTTCTCCTTGTAACTTGGTATAATGATAAGCCACTTATTATTTGGAATCCCGGGGAAGCAGTCTCTTCAGGGGCGGATTCTAAAATAAAATGAATAAGTACTAAAAAACGACAGGACTGAAATTTGAGTTGGAGTTAGCTCCCTTTGGTCAAAAATAATCAATCATTTCTGCAAATGGCCAATTTTAATGGCTTCTAATAAATACATGAATGAGTACAGAAAATGATCGATACCAAGTTGACATTATCGTGCAAATTAAGTGATTATTTCCTTCACTAAGGCGATTTAAAGCGGCAAAAGGCAATTTTCTGGCCCGAAGCAGGCCTAAGTTTGCTTCTCTTGTGTTTTTTAACTCCCACCATGTTTATATCAGAGGACAGAGACACACGCTGTTTTCGAGCTGTTTTATATTTCTAGTTGAATAAAATAACCTTCAAAACACATTTGACTGTCGTTTTTATTTATGATTTGCATGATAAGTAGTTGTTTGGAAAAACATGTAATAATAAAAGTTAAGGAAACGAAACGTATAAGTAGATTATTCAATTCACGACGTTTCGGGCCGGGTCATCGTGACTCCATTATCAAGTGATAAAAGTGAATGATAATTACAGATATATATAGGAACAAGAAAAAAATTTGCATGATGTCTCGGCAAAACGGACAATTAAGCACACTCCGTCTTTCTATGGTCTAATTGGATAAATATCAAACATTGTGCAGTCAAAAGTTGCTCCACTTCAATATGCAAGATAGCTTGCCACGCAGTAGGAGTCCCTGTATCTCGCTATAATCCATTTTCAGTTTGCCACCTTTAGCGGAAACCTCATAGATTCATATGTTCTATGTACTACAACACATCATTCGACCGTATATGTTTGCTATACGTTTTGTTAATGATAAAGAAAGTTTGAACAACTAAGCACGTAATTCAAAGGTCACAACGATAGGATGCTGTTTAGAAGGGTCTTCTCGATCCTTTTCGATCCCTCTAAGAATTGGTTCGCTGTCCTTAATCAAATATTCAGGGGATTAACAGCAGTCCCACTTGATGCTTCCAAGAAATTGTTTCAATTTGGCGATTCTAATTTCGTATTTTGTCAAAGAATTCTTTTCTAGAGTTCGCGTATTAGAAAAAGAAGTATTTAGGGACATTTTAGATGACGACAATAGACCTGAGCTACGTTAATTTTTGCGTCTTTTACCGGAAGCTGACATCTTGCATTATCCAATAGGAATTTCAAGCTATTCCCTGGCCAAAAAGAGGTGTTGTCACTTTTCGGTAAAGGATAAAGAACTCATGCTTAGAATTTTGTTCTTAGCTCTAGCTTGTCGTGCATCTTATTATGAGGATAACAAATGACAAAATTGCGTGTAAGCATGTTTAGCACCGTTGGTGAATGTTCGCGTAATTTATAAGTTGATTTATACCTATTTCAAAAAAGGTTGTTATGTCGGATAAAATGGCGAATTCCAACTGTCGAACGGCAATTGCACTACCGAAATTAGCCATAGGTCTTGCTAGTTAATGAGAAGTAACAACTGATTTATAGCGGAGCACCATAGCTAAGAAAAAATGGTAAACCACTTTTCTGTACTCCTTCCTTCCGTCCGTGTACCACCATCACCACAGGAAATCCATTTTCCGCGCGAAAAGGAAAAATAAAACCACCAAAATATTTGATGAAACACCGAGACACTTTATTTCCTCAAACATTGATCTTCGAAATGATATAATATAAGAAAAATTAATCCAAAAAAATCCACAGAAGAGCGAATTAAAAGCACAGAAATATTCCCGCCAATTTGTCATAACTGCGACGCGTGCGCACATCTGGGAGATTGATTTGTGAAAGATATAAACAAATTTATTTTAAAGAGTTTTGAGGCTGTCTTTGAGGAATAAGACAAAAGGAAAGCAGGATCGGATGATTTTTCTCTTTGATATTTATGTTCGAAATAAGTATGATGCCGTTGGAGTAAGATTATTTCTCGAAACCGGATAGTTAAGGCGAGTTTGTCATAGGATACCTAATTTTTATATTACTGTAATATGGCCTGTGGTAAACATTGACTCCATAGTCTCCATTTCTATGCAAGATGAATCCAATAAGTGAAGTTTTGTTTGTCAAAACAGTGTAACCATAGTGCCTTTCGGGCGTGCAATCTCCCTTCGACAATCGTACGTTGTTCGCCGTTCTCCCCGACAACGGTTTTTGAAATAGTTGTATATTTAGAGTGTGTCAATGAGAGGACAGATACGTTGTGCTGAAACCATTACTTCCGCACCATCATGTGGATAAAAAAAAATACACGCGGTTTCTTTCCATATATTGACACACTCCAATTGACGTCAGAAAATTTTTAAGGCTTTGTAGTAAACCCTTGCGTTTCAGCATCTTATGACAACAAGACTGCGTCAAATAAGGACATACATGTACAGCTCAAAACCGTGAAAAATTTGTTAAATTCTAAGAATGAAAGTGTTTTGTCGTTTTGTTTCAACGTAAGAAGCCAAGCACAATCATATCGGTGCTCTGAGTCCCGACGTCTAATGGTTTTTGATGCTGATGTTTCCGATTGAAATAGAGACTTTTAATATATAAAATCATGCAAGAAAACAAGTTTGATATATCAGGATACATTTTAATTGTTCTTTTAATATGCATACCAATAGACAACACAATATGACAAAAAGTGCTACAAAAAATAAAAATACATAAATAATGTTGATTATATTTACATTTGCCTGTCATGGCTTCCGTAATTTCATATAGTAATTCACGGAAACGTATAATACATGTGCAAGCTGTAACTTCCAATGATGATACGTCATCTTCCATTAATTCCATGCCTTTTCTTTGATTACGTACTTCTTAGTAATATTGACCAAGCATATAAACATCTCAATAACTGCAAAACGAAGTTTAAGTTGTTATTAATTCCGTCGATACAAAAATTAGAAAACTGCTAAAACACGTTTAGAGGCTTATTGGAGGATTACATGGACACTATTCCTTAATTAGGAAAAATACCAGTTCTCAAGCTTTTAAACGATTTGGCAAATTTAAATGCCAAATATGAATCACATGATACACTTACGAAATGAAATACAAAATTTAGGTTTAAAGTTTAGAATATGACTTTAATATCACCGAATCCTATTTCAAATTACTAGAATTTAAATAACAAAGATGTCACATTCGTCAAGATGACACATCCAATTTTGTAGATATATATAACGAGACATGAATGTGCATTTATTTTACCATTTTGTAGGTAAGAGTTAGTTACCGAGAACGGAGGCATTACGCTATATACAGCCCTAGGGCCGCAGGCCCGAGGGCTGTATATAGCGTAATGCCGACGTGCGAGGTAACTAACAAACTTAGTTTTCAATTCACGTGGTTTTCGCAAAGACTGAATAGACTAAATGAATGTTTTCTTAGTTGGGATTCGAACAATAGAATCCTCTCGAGACCTTTTCATGGACTGTTGAAATTAGTTTCCTTTAAGAAAACCTGTTCATGCGAAAGCGAGCTATCCGATTTTGAATATTGTTATCAAATATTCTTAACAGTCATTCTGGAAACGATGTCGAACAGTGACGACGATTTGTGTATAGCTCAAAATACGTTTGACATCATTCCTTTGCCGAACTTCGATAATGACTATTTGAGTCGGATTTGGAACTCCGTATGCCTCTGCCCGCAAATAGTAACGATGACAAAGTCTGCAGATGAGAAAAAACAAGAGAAAAATTACAATAGTTTTTGATGTTGAACTCGCTCAAAGAAATACGAGGGAAGGATTCCAGAAGGAACAAACTAAAGTACCTTTAAATGGCCGTGTGTGTACGTGCTTGGATAGAATGGACCGAGGAGCGGAGAAATRCGAGTTACACTATTACTTCTGATTCATACACGTTGGCCCAACTTCGACGTATAGATTCTTAGTTAAAAGTAACGAAGATGGTTATTGCTATTTCTTTTCTCTGATGAACACGAAGAAAAGCTGCGGGACTCGAACTTATTACGCGCTCAATCTCCCGTCA